AGAACATTCCATTTCGAGCAAAGTTTAGCAGCCGTGAAGTCGTGAAACTTTCCTCATTGCTTTATGAAGAGTTAACAGTCAGCTGTACGAAAGGGCTGATGGTTGCTTTAAGAAGATATAAGAGACGACTCAGAAGGAAACGGCTGACAGTGAAACGATGAAAAGTGTTACTAGCGGAAGTGCGGTCAACAATTACGCCACAACTTGAAACCAGAACAATAATACAGTAGTTGGAAAACTAAAAATCTTATGATCCTCAGCGCCATGATATTGAAATCAATGTAGCTCGTGATGTCTCCACCCCCTCTATGTTCTGGCCAGGCAAAATTTGTTACGCTTTCCTCGATTTAAAAATGATTGGTGAGGCTATCTGCCTTCCTCGTTGTCACCAATGGGACAAACGTACAGTTCCGCTTCAAGTAAGGTTCAGCAATCTTTACCACGTTTCCTGCCACCACTGGATTTTGTTCAACATCCTCATCAGATGCTATTTTTTAAGCTAAGACATCATATGTCTGAATTACTCCACTGTTTATGCTTATTAGCGTTGGACGACGTTGACAAGACAACAACACGTGAAATTGTAACCAGTTAACTGGTAACCTGTAATTAAACCAACAGCCAGAAAACTAAACCTTGGGCATATAAGTACGATGTCTTACCAGATGCATCTTGAAAAGAAAAACAAAGCCACTGCTAAGTAGCTGGTCATCTCTGACCACGGAAAGAAAAGTCAGCGCCTTTCCATTACATGTTGAATGGGCATTGGCGATTAAACGGCCTATTTATCTTCAATTTTTAACTATCAACAGAAGGGAGAAGTAGAGAACAGCCACAGCCAGATTTTGGGCTCATTCTGCAAAACATGAGTACTGAAAAAATAGCGCAAAAAATAGTTTACTTATGCATATCGCAAAAGATACTGCGGTAAGTGTGGTGAGTAACCAATGCCGACGTTTCGGCCTTCTTCAAGGAAGGTTGTTGGTGAAGTTTCGTGAAAGTGGTTGGTCGCCTGCACGGTCGACAGTTTCAGAGCCAGCAGGCTTGCCAAGGCAGAAGACTGAAAGCTTCCGTTAAAGAAGGCCAGTGAGACACGAGCCGAAACGTCGACATTGGTCAGTCGCCGGACTTATCACAGCATACTTTGCGTTGCACATAAGTAAACTGTTTTTTACGCTATTTTTCGGTATGAGCACCAGTGCGCGAATGAATTGCCTCAAAGCCGAATA